AGGTATATTGGATACTTGATTAGAACAGGAGGTATATTGTATACTTGATTAGAACAGGAGGTATAGTGGATACTTGATTAGATCAGGAGGTATTGGATACTTGATTAAAACAGGAGGTATATTGGATAAATGATTAGAACAGGAGGTATATTGGATACTTGATTAGAACAGAAGGTATATTGGATACTTGATTAGAACAGGAGGTATTGGATACTTGATTAGAAAAGGAGGTATATTGGATACTTGATTAGAACAGGAGGTATATTGTATACTTGATTAGAATAGAAGGTATATTGGATACTTGATTCGAACAGAAGGTATATTGGATAATTGATTAGAACAGGAGGTATATTGGATACTTGATTAGAACAGAAGGTACATTGGATACTTGATTAGAACAGGAGGTAAATTGGATATTTGATTAGAACAGGAGGTATATTGGATAATTGATTAGAACAGGAGGTGTATTGGATACTTGATTAGAACAGGATGTATTGGATACTTGATTAGGAAAGGAGGTATATTGTATAATTGATTAGAACAGGAGGTATTGGATACTTGATTAGGAAAGGAGGTATATTGTATAATTGATTAGAACAGAAGGTATTGGATACTTGATTAGGAAAGGAGGTATATTGGATATTTGATTAGAACAGGAGGTATTGGATACTTGATTAGAACAGAAGGTATATTGGATACTTGATAAGAACAGGAGGTATATTGTATACTTGATTAGAACAGGAGGAATAGTGGATACTTGATTAGATCACGAGGTATTGGATACTTGATTAAAACAGGAGGTATATTGGATAATTGATTAGAACAGGAGGTATATTGTGTATTTGATTAGAACAGGAGGTACATTGGATACTTGATTAGAACTGGAGGTATATTGGGTTATTGATTAGAACCGGAGGTATATTGTACACTTGATTAGAACAGGAGGTTTTGGTTACTTGATTAGAGCAGGAGGTATATTGGATACTTGAAAAGATCAGGAGGTATATTGTATACTTGATTAGAACAGGATACACATATTCTGTGTAGGGATTGTTCTTGAGATTTACAAATACTATGCTTTTGGGGCGCGCCAATCTTCTATTTCAATTTTGAACATGTTCTCTTTGTATACATTAAAAACAATAACAAAACAAACATTATGCGGAATTTACAAAAAAAATTAAGTGAATTTTCAAAATTTTCAAAATCGAATTTTGTTTGATGCAAATTTTTGAAAAATTAATCATCCATAAACCTTTCCTGGGGTCAATCGAGGTCCCACACAAAATTTGGGCCCGATAGGGTCAGCCGTTTTGACGTTTATTGGTATAAGTTTCTGTTTGTTTAATTAAGTATTTGAGAAGAATATTCTGTAAAGGGATTGTTCTTGAGATATACAAATAGGAGTGTTCTTGAGATATACAAATATTCTGTAAAGGGAGTGTTCTTGAGATATACAAATATTCTGTAAAGGGATTGTTCTTGAGATATGCAAATATTCTGTAAAGGGATTGTTCTTGAGATATGCCAATTTTCTGTAAAGGGATTGTTCTTGAGATATACCAATATTCTGTAAAGGGATTGTTCTTGAGATATACAATGTTCTGTAAAGGGATTGTTCTTGAGATATGCAAATATTCTGTAAAGGGAGTGTTCTTGAGATATACAAATATTTTGTAAAGGGAGTGTTCTTGAGATATGCAAATATTCTGTAAAGGGATTGTTTTTGAGATATGCAAATAATCTGCAAAGGGATTGTTCTTGAGATATGCAAATATTCTGTAAAGGGATTGGTCTTGAGATATGCAAATATTCTGAAAAGGGATTGTTCTTGAGATATGCAAATATTCTGTAAAGGGATTGTTCTTGAGATATGCAAATATTCTGTGAAGGTAGTGTTCTTGAGATATGCAAATATTCTGTAAAGGGGTTGTTCTTGAGGTATACAAATAGTCTGTAAAGGGATTGTTCTTGAGATATGCAAATAGTCTGTAAAGGGATTGTTCTTGAGGTATGTAAATATTCTGAAAAGGGATATATTGTTCTCCAGAAATAAAAATCTGAATAGCATAAACGAGTTTATTGTCTCTTAATTAAATATTTTTGGTTAATTTTTTTACTAGAGGAAAATCTTTTAAATTGTTCAGGCAATATTCGGCAACACTGATATTCCTCGTATAGAGGTGGTTAAACATCAATATAGGTAGGATACTTTCCATACTAGAATACTTTCTGTAATAGGATACTTTCCATACTAGAATACTTTCTGTAATAGGATACTTTCACTATAATAGGATACTTTCCATACTTGGACACTTTCCATACTAGGAGACTTCTCTGTACTAGGATACTTTCTGTAATAGGATACTTTTCATACTAGAATACTTTCCATACTAGTATACTTTCCATACTAGAATACTTTCTTTACTAAGATACTTTCATTACTAGGATACTTTCTGTAATAGGATACTTACTATAATAGGATACTTTCCATACTTGGACACTTTCCATACTAGGAGACTTTATTTACTAGGATACTCTCTGTACTAGGATACTTTCTATACTAGGATTAATTTCTACAAGGACACTTTCCATACTAAGATACTTTCTATACTAGGATACTTTCTAAACTAGGATACTTTCATAACTAGGCTAATTTATATACTAGGATACTTTCTATACTAGGATACATTCTATCTTAGGAAACTTTCTTTACTGGGATACTTTTTTGTACTAGGATACTTTCTATAAAAGACACTTTCTATACTAGGATACTTTCTAAACTTGGATACATTTTACCCTATAATACTTTCTATACAATGATACTCTCTTTGTTAGGATACTTTCTATATTCGAGGACATTTTCCATACTTGGCTACTTTCTGTACTAGTATACTTTCTGTACACTCAGATACTTTCTATACTAGGATACTTTCTATACTAGAATTCCTTCTAAACTAGGATACTTTCTACAGTATGATACTTTCCATACCAGGATACTTTTTATGCTAGGATACTTTCTATACTATGATACTTTCTATGCAACAATACTTTCAATACTGGATACTTTCTGCACTAGGATACTTTCTATATACTAGGACACTTTCCATACTTGGCTACTTTTCATACTAGGATACTTTCTATGTTAGGATACTTTCTAAACTAGGATACTTTCTATACTGAGATACTTTTTATACTAGGATGCTTTTTACGCTAGGATATTTTCTATCTAGGATACTTGCTTTTCTAGGAAACTTTCAATGTTTGGATACTTTCTGCACTAGGATACTTTTTATGCGAGGATACATTCCATGCAAGGATGCTTTCCATACTAGGATACTTTCTATACTAGGATACTTTCTATATACTAGGATACTTTCTATATAATAAGATACTTTCCATAATACGATACTTTCCAAACTAGGATACTTTCCATTTTAGGATACTTTCTCCACTTGGATACTTTCTATGTTAGGATACCTTCTATACTAGGATACTTTCCATACTAGGATACATTCTACACTAGAATACTTTCTTTAAAATAGGATACTTTCTATATGCTAGAATTCTTTCTCTATACTAGGATATTTTATTTAAACTAGGATACTTTCTCTATATACTAGGATACTTTCTCTATACTAGGATATTTTATTTAAACTAAGATAGTTTCTCTATACTAGGATATTTTATTTAAACTAGGATACTTTCTCTATACCAGGATACTTTCTCTATACTAGGATACTTTCTATACTAGGATACTTTTTATGAATATGTATTGTTTAATCTAGGATATAAATGCCATGAACTAATCTATGAAAATTATATTATAGTTCAATGTTCCCCCAGGAAGAGGGTGAGTCTACGGCGCAATCTGAAGATCCTGCTCGCGATAATAATTTCAAGGTATTTTAGCAGTTTATCCCTAGCTTCATAATTTCAAGGTAATACAACAGTTTACGCTGTACATAATAATTTCAAGGTAAATACAACGGTTTATCCCTATACTTCATAATTTCAAGGTAATAGAATGGTTTATCCCTGTACTTCATAATTTCAAGGAAATAAAATGGTTTATCCCTATACTTCATAATTTCAAGGTAATACAACAGTTTATCCCTATACTTCATAATTTCAAGGTAGTACAACGGTTTATCCCTATACTTTATAATTTCAAGGTAATACAACGGTTTATCCCTCTATTTCATAATTTCAAGGTAATACAACAGTTTATCCCTGTACTTCATAATTTCAATCTAATACAATGGTTTATCCCTGTACTTCATAATTTCAAGGTAATAGAATGGTTTATCCCTGTACTTCATAATTTCAAGGTAATACAACGGTTTATCCCTATACTTTATAATTTCAAGGTAATACAACGGTTTATCCCTCTACTTCATAATTTCAAGGTAATACAACGGTTTATCCCTATACTTCATAATTTCAAGGTAATACAATGGTTTATCCCTGTACTTCATAATTTCAAGATAATACAACGGTTTATCCCTGTACGTCATAATTTCAAGGTAATACAACAGTTTATCCCTGTACTTTATAATTTCAAGATATTACAACGGTTTATCCCTCTTCTTCATAATTTCAAGGAAACAATGAATGAAAGGATGAATAAATTTAATAAATGAGTGATAGAATAAATGAAAGTTTGAATGAAAGGATAAATAGGAGCATGAAAGGATGAATAGGTGAATACTAGGATTAATAGGAAGATGAATGAATGAATGGATGACAGGATAAATGAATGAATGTTTAGGAACCTGAGGTGGATATGTTGAGAAATCAGAAGGATGATGATTTAGAGAGATATAGGAATATTTCAAAATATAATTTATATTCTGATTTCATTATATATAAATCTAGAACGATATAATTTTATTAAACATATTAAAAGTATAAAATTATCTATATATTTATATATTTACTAGGCTTCCAAAGAGGTCCATACCTTTCTATTCTATGCTATTCCAAATGTTAATTGATTAATATGCTCTGCAGGGAAGAACGAAATAAAGTCTCTGCCACAAACTCTGATTTTCTAATTTCTATATCTTTGCAACCCAATATCAAATACCTAATATATTCCATACAGTGAACTCTGTTATATCAAGTAATCTAAGTTCGAAATATCTACTTTCACGGTTTCTATTGCAAAGATATAGGAATTAGAAAATATGAGTTTGTGGTAAAAACTTGGTTCCTTTGCATATGTTGTTTAAACAATTGGAAGTATATAGATAGATAGATAAATTGTATTGCTAAAATACATGTATCTGTGTATAGACTAGGATACTCTCTGTACTAGGATACTTTCTGTAATAGGATACTTTTCATACTAGAATACTTTCCATACTAGTATACTTTCCATACTAGAATACTTTCTTTACTAAGATACTTTCATTACTAGGATACTTTCTGTAATAGGATACTTACTATAATAGGATACTTTCCATACTTGGACACTTTCCATACTAGGAGACTTTATTTACTAGGATACTCTCTGTACTAGGATACTTTCTATACTAGGATTAATTTCTACAAGGACACTTTCCATACTAAGATACTTTCTATACTAGGATACTTTCTAAANCAAATGTCGTCTTGACAATTTTTCAATGAGTTTTATACTATATTACGTAAATTTCATTATTTGCGAAAATAAATAAATAGTCATGAATATGCAGGAACAGTTTTAAAGAGTTCCATATAATCATTTAATTAAAAATCTAAATATCTGCAACATCCCATTATCAGAAAGTGAAGAATACGACATTTGATGAATTCTTTCGATGTATTCGTTATTAAGAGTTTTACTGTATCTATTTCATTATCCAATTAGAGATAAATGCTAACATCGGCGTTTTAACAGTAAATGGAAATATTGCGGTAACAGATAAATGTTACCGCCATACTATTTCTATTGGTTCAGAATAGACACCAAATACATGCTGAACACTGATTGGATCAGGCGCTAATGGACTCGGCATAGATGAACTTTCTAGAAGTCGTAGAAAATTAATGTTTAAAATTGCATTTTTAAATATTGCTTTGGACGTGAAATATTCGATATGTTGAGCTGAGTTGAGTTAGATTCGAACAATATGGTGAGTATCCTCCCTTTCCCTTGTACTCCCTCACCTCCTCCTTACCATCTTCCTGATTTATCACCATTCTTATGTTTAAAATGTACAATGTACATTGTTTTTATCTGCAATTCTCATTCGTTTATAGTGGGCCAACCAATTAAAACAACCTACTCTGGTTAGGCGGGTCCAAACTACATAGTAAATTGTGATTTTTTATTTGTATTATCTCGTGCTTTGTAGTTGAATAAAAATATGAATGA